AAGAGCATGCCACATAAAGAAACATGAGCCATAAAGAAAGAAGAAAATAAAGCGATTAAATGTGAGTCTAACGAAGAGAGAAAAGTCTAATAAATTAAATTCAATAGTTCGTGTAGTTTTCATTCCCCTCGTCTTTCTTCAACTCATTCTAAATTGGGCATCATCCAAAACGATATTTTTCTCCATTAAGACGACGACGACAACGTAAAGTTATGTTTCTTTATTATTATTTTTTTTGGATATATGCAGAAAAGAAATAAAGAATGAAAAGGAAGAGAAAAAATTTCCATGCTACCCCGTTTCACTTTATTATGAACTAGGGATAAAAACGCAGGTAAATCCATAAAAATGAATTGCTAGTTTAACATAAGCATGTATTTTTTTTTGGCAAATACCTTGAAAAAGCTTTCTCATTATGAATAAGTTTCATTTTTATGACTTTCTCACATAAAGAAAAATAGCAACTAAGGTAGATAGGAAATGGAGAAGAAATTTGAAAAACTATACACTCATATACTCCCCATACACGAATTTTTGCTATATCCTTAAATTTTGTTATTTTAGTGCGGATTTCGCAGGTCGGATGAGACTGTAATTGATCTATTTAAGCCATTTAAAGCACATCTAAGTAAGGTTCAAAACAAATTTTATAAATGACAATGGATTACGAGTTACTTGCACATCCAGGATCATTTTAACTATAATAAGTTTTCATCAAGCAAACCTTTAGTGTCAAACAGCCTAATTCTTACGATAACTTTTGTAGATCTCCCTATAACTGCTATATGTGCATACTAATGTAAACGAGTCGGGTTTGATAGGATTCGAACCCACGATCTCAAAAGAGGCGATCTCTGACCACTCGATCAGAGATCCCTGCCACTCGGCTACCGAGGTACTTATCTCACTTCGGCTATCCGTCATACACATATAACCAGTTTCAATGCGAGCCCTTTACTTAGGCCTATCTACTACAGATACACTCTACAAGCCATAGGGGCCGTTCACTTATTACGTTCACGTTTTAGGGGGGAGAGGGGGTTTAAAAAATTGTAACCAAATGTAACATGGGAAGGGGGGGGGGGGGGGTGTCAAGAAGTATGTAACGTTCTAACTGTCGTCTGTCTTTTAAAAAAAAGTTCACGAAAAAAATTTGTTTACAAATTCACACCAAAAACAAATTTTTAAATTTTCCACCTTTTTAAAGATTTATGAATGTCCAGATCACTTTTGATAGCTAAGCAATACATAGTTTTTGTTATATAAAGTAACAAATCTATAGAAAACTGGTTTACACGACTTTAAAATACAATCATAATTTGTCGAAATTTTAAGTTTAAAAGTAAATCTCTCTAAATCTGTCATTCATATGATGATTAATATGATCCCATCATTGTGATATTTATATCAAAGTTGATTGAATTTTCCAAAATTCGATCGTGCATAATATTTTTCATGACATTTTTGAATTTTCTTCAAAAAAAAACAAATTTTCGCTTTATATCTTAATCGAATAATTCATGAGAATACTAATAGTATCAATCAAAACATGACCTATTAAGCTGTACAGTATTTTGATGTTTAAGAAAAAAAAAATAAAAAAAAAATTTAACCGTCTTTTTAGATTTAAAAGGAATAAAATAAAATTATAAACGTGGAGGGGGTTTTGAGTTGTAACATATTGTAACAAGGGGGGGGGGGAAGTCGTTTTTTTGCGTAACGTAATAAGTGAACGGCCCCATATCTACAACTCACATGATTCTTTTATTTTCTTTCAAACTTATTTTTAGTACTCATACCTAGCGATTGACCCAAAAAACGTGGACCTAAGCGTATGCAATTTGAAATCAAAGACGCAAGTCTTTGCCTTTGTCAAAGGCAATTTTTTTGGCTGTTTTGTGCCTTTGCAAAAGCACGGCTTTGCTAGATCATAGCCAAAATCTGGTCAAAGGCAACTTTGGATCAACACTGCTTATTTTTAAAAAATATTTCCAAAAATATAAACCCGCTATAATAATTCACATTAAATAACTTTTCACTTATTCCTTCCGATTTCCATTTCTTTAACTACTTATTTTCTTTTGATAAAATGAAGGAATGGTAAGGAAAACAACATGAGAAAATGTGATTATGCTGCTCATCGAAAGACGTAATGGAAAATCAATAAATTTTCATTAAACTTACCTTTATGTCGCTGAAAAAAAATATATATTAAGGAATTTTCCTACTCGACTGTCGTCATAATCGTAAAAACTTTATATTTTTTTCTGCCTTCCTCCTTTTTGTCGTCTTGCCGATTGTGTGGCCTAGAAAATTAAAATTATTTTTTTATGTCAAATTCCTTTTTTGTTTCCATTTCATTGGATGTCATCATGACTGTAATAATAATAACAATAATAATAATCATTCGTAATGGAACTTAAAAAAAGGTGATGAACAAAAAAAAACTTGTTTTTGCTCCTTTTTTAAAATCAATTGCTAATGATTATAGGTTTGTTTGTTACATTTTTGTTAAATTGCTATTTTTTGTGTGATGTTCAATTAAATTTTCATTTTGAATTTTTCTAGCATTCTGTGGATCAAGAGAAAAGATTTTGCGGAAAAGATAAAGGCATTCGTAATTAAATTGATTTTATGGGTAAGATTTAATAACACAAAAGTGTTGTTTTGCATGCAGAATAGTAAAGGATGTAGTTTTAATTATAATAGTGACGTGGTCAAGGTGTTCAAAGAGGATAAGCATCCACTTTTAAATGTTCCTTAAAACAACTTTAACATCCATAATCCATCCAAAGGCCTGGAAACTCAGGATTAATCCTGAAAATCCCAAAATTCCAAAAATAAATTTCGGGATTTTTCAGAATTAATCCTGAGCTTACACGCTTTGATCCATCCAAATCTCCTATCCTGATGAGCATTCTCTCATATCCCGGCTTGAAATGTACAAAAAACCATTCACATACCAATAAAATTTCAATTTATCTGAAATTTCTGCATAATTACACATCAATTTATGTATAGATGTATAGCATACAAGTCTATATCCTCGAACAGTTGCCAATGAGTTTATCTGCATATTATAAGTTTGAGGTAATCTACACCAAAGTTCAACAATAACAATTCCAATACGTGAATCGACTAAATGCTCTAGGACGAAGTGAACAATTTATGGCAAATAATATTGCTGATTATTTAATTAAAATAATTTCATGGTAATGTTAAATGGCATTTTAAAGTCATTACTAGTACAATTGTCTGCTAATGTATTCAGTATATTATTGAACAATATCGACTCTATCTCTTCAGATTTTGTACAATTGTGAATTTTCATTTCATTTCCAATGCCCGCAATACCAATGCACCATGAGCTAAAATAAATGATAATTCGAATAATGTAGATATAATAAATAAACTCCACTATTTGTGCATGAATGTGTGTGTACTTTATGCTTTTAACCGAGACCAATAGAGCAGTAAAAATAAAATAAATACATAACAATAGGAGAAGGGAATCAGTGTGGATACATTCGCGGAGACTTCATAGAAACGCGTTTATTGATGGATGGAAATCATTCTCAAATTATTGTAGCAGTTGTCTTTTTGTAAGAACGAGGTGTTTATCACCCAGAACTTACAATTCTGGCTATTTATTTGAGTTCAGTTTCTTAGGCTACGATAGATACCTAAACTTGTCACAGTCAATCTTTATTTATCTCTAGAACAGTGTTATCCAAACTTTTTTGACCCACGGCAGATCTTAGGGGTAAGGCATTACCAAAGTCGCACACAGCATGTGGCTTGCGTCATTTACAAAAAAAATCTACGGCACACCAGTGTGCCTTGGCACACAGTTTAAAAAACACTGCTCTAAACTTAGTATACCAAAAAATATCTACATAAATTGGTCACTCAGAATCAACTTCTAGAGCAACTAGGGAAGGTTATACATGCCCTTAAAAGTGTGATCAGCGGAGCAAGGTTTTGGAGGTCAACCCTTTCTACTTCGTTTGGAATTTTTAATTTGATGTGAATTGATTTTGAGAAAAGAAACAAAAAAATCCTCACTAAAAAACATTTCTGGATATGCCCTTGGTAGCCGTGAAGGAGAGTGGGAGAGGGGTTCTTTCAAAAAAACTCTAGCAAATTAAAGAAATCTTTCCAAATACAAAGGGGTGACTTAAAAAAACCAACAAAAGCCCCAGCTCCCTGGCTATGCTTGTGACACTTAGCTTGGATTTGTCCTCAAACCTACCATCTTCCATCTCATCATTCATACTACATACAACACCCTCCTTCATTTTTACGTCGCTAACAGTTTATCATTTCAAGACTCATAACCTTATAGCTTGAGACATCAAAAAAGCAGTTTACAAAACTACTCTTAACCACACCTTTAAAACACGATAAAATCCACTTATAAAAAACAGAAAAAAATAGTCGCATGGCGATGGAGATGAGTTTGATGGCAATTGCATGTAAAAGCCAATTTTCGTATTATGTTTTTCCATGCACAATCGTTTTGCTGCAACACAACACATCGCATAGAGAAAATAACAAGAATAATAGGAAAATAAGTAGCAGTCAGTCAGTGTAGAACAAAGCAGAAAGAGAGAAAATTAAAATGCAAATAGGGAATTGAGTTGTTTATGGAATAAATATAAGAATCAAGTAGATTTGCGTGACTTGATATTTAGAAATGATTAACTTAAAAATAATGAGGTCTATTGTCAGCGATTTAAATGAATAATTTTTTATTTAACATAGATGAACATGCTGAATTAAACTTTAAAAATATTTTTGGACGCTATTTTGGTTTGAATGCCTTAAGTTTCATACCCAACAGGCGTGAATAATTATAATGTCAATATTTTCTCCTTCCTTTTAAAAAATCTACAATTTCCAGTAAAGCCTGCAAATTCCAGGAAAGCTTCTAGATTCCAGACAAAAGTTTCACATAAATTGCCCAGTTTTTTAAGTCTCCATTCAATTTGTGTTTAATTCCCGTAGTGAATACAAGCAAAAAATGAAAATTTTAATTTCAATATTTTGTGTGATTCTAATCGCTGGTAAATATTTTTATGACTTTTTATAGTGATTGTATAATTTAGTTTGAATTAATAAAAGTGAGATTTATTACTCAATTTTAAAAAATGATATTTTAAGATTTTTAAACTTTGTTTTGAATTTTTCATGATTTTAAAATATTTTTCTTTTATTTTAAAGTACTTTTTCTGAACTAAGTTGGGATTCGATTTGATCTAATTGTGTTAAACTAATCAATTAAGTAATATGTAATAATTTTTGAATAATTTCGAATTCTTGGTTTGACTTTTAACCTTTCCTTACTTAAGACATACCCTTTAAAAATCACTGACGTCCTTCGTTTATAATATAAAGTTAAAAATTATTCTTAATTTCAACTTCCTTAGCAAAAAGTTTCCTTACCAAAAAACATTACGTAATAAAAGAACTTATTAAATGAGATAATTTTAAGCTTAGTTAACTGTTATTTACAAGTTATCATCCCAAGTTTACTTACCAGATTTGTGACAAGGTCTAGGGCAGTGAATAAAACTTAAAATTAATCCTATGTTTTCACATTTTATGATTTCAAAATGTTTGATGAAATTATTTAATTGCGTCGCAAGATTTGAGGAAAGTTTGAGAAGCAGTGGCTCAGGGCTAAGTGTCGAAACTGTGTGTTACAGCACAATTATGTGACGTAAAAATTTCTTGGTAATGATACAAGACGCATGTTGTATACGACTTTGATCGTGGTCTGCTACTAAAGTGTAAGGTGGCTCAAAAAGTGCACAATATTTTCATAAAGTCTTGAATTTTTTATAAGATGAATGCAGCTGGTTGTTTGAATCTGATTTTACTATTCTTCCAACTTAATAAATAAAAAGTCATTAAACATAGGTTTCGTAAAAAAAAGTCATTATACCCAGTAATACATCTCCTAAACCCAACCCCTGATACGAACAATTCAGGAACTTTGACCGTTACAGTTTCCAAATAAACTTGTAAAAATGTCTTATTTGTCTGTCTGCGATACAAAATTCGAAATTTCTCACCCTGATTTCGAAAATTCGGAAAAAATAAAAACTTTTATTCAATCAGTTTTACATGATAACTTATTGATAATATTATGTAATCAGTTACTATTGACTGTAATGTAGCTTATATTTTCATGTAATGAACCACAAACTCTACGAAAACCGCTAAAACGTGTAACGGTTTTTTGAAATTTGAATTTTTCGGACGTGCATATTATAAAACCCCTAGACTTTCGAACATGAATAATTGTTCGTATCAGCTTAAATGTTTTTATTTTACGAACTTGAATCAAAATCTTTACTTGAACTTAATATAAGTCAATACTTAGCAATATGTGCGTGTGCGTACATTACACAATTTTCTTATCACAAACACCTTTAGTGTAAATTTTTTTAACATTATACTTCTTCAATGAATATTTAATTTTCAAATTTATGGTATCAAACGAGCATTATGTCACTAGTTATTAACCTTAACCATTCAAAACGGTGAATAAACATCAATCAATCGATCAAAAGTTACTAAACATTTAAGTGCTACAATTTTATTCTTAACATTAATAATTCTTACACTATTTTTCGTTATAAGCTAGTAGCTTAGCAGAATAAAAAAATGATTTATTTGGCTCACTAGCAGCTTAGTAACGAGTAGGAGCTTATAACGAAAAACAGGGAAAAACTATATTATGTACGTTAGCTCAGTTTGTAGCGCATAATCTTTATGAATCAGTTGTGTGTTCAGCAGCCAATTAAAAACTCTTTACATCTTAGAACTAGTGTTCATGGCGGCTCTCGTTTCTATTCCTAGTAGGTCACAATGTCTCCAGGTCCGTTCCATTAAAAGCCCTCCATGGTGAATTTACGGCTCTCGTATCTTTCTCATTCTGTCTACAAAATTCTTGACCCATTCCTATGTCTGAAAGCGCCTTACACCGGTGACTATAGAAGGTCTCTTTTTTAAAGATTTTAGAATTCAATAAAGGTTTTTTTTTATTTGATACTTATTTTTTGATAATCTGCTGTTATGTAAAATATAGAGAGATCTGAACGAAATATTAGATCCAACTATTAATCTTATATTTTAAAAACATTCAATTTTAATCAACTATGATTGAAACAACTACTGCGTCTTGCAAATGTCCTTGAATTGAAAATGATATTATTTTAAACTAACGTACACAGTCAAATTCAACAAGTTTTATCTTTGTCAATAAAAATAATAATTTAAAGTGTGTTTTTAAGTCCGTCTCTGTTCACACTCAGCATGTTTACTTAAAAACAATGGCGGACAGTTTATATTTTTCTTTAGAAAAATAACGCGACAAAGTAAAATTCTTTATAAGCATAAGAAACAAGGTTTTAGATTAGACAAATTTTAGAAAATTTACAACTTAAAATCTCAGTTCTTAAAGTGATTTTCATTATTAAGTATGTCACGATGTCACTCATTTCATATCGTCTAAAATTAGCATTGCAGAATGTTTGATCAATTGCTTGCTTAAATCTATTTTTAAATTTATCGAATATATTATTAACTTTTTTATTTATTAAAACTTAACATTTCCGATCTGATCAAATAATAAATTTAAAAATAGTAAGTTCGACACAAGTAAAAGAATTGACGAAATAAAATGTTGCCAAACAATTGTTCAAACAATTACCATACATAAAAACTAAAGGTTTCTAGGAATAAATTTTAAAAATACCATTTTCTTCTAAAATTTAAAACGTAAAAAAGACAATCAAATTTATTCATTAATAGTATTTAAATTAAAATTTTTCCATTCCAAAATAGATCACGCAGTTCTAGCAGATTATGCTCAACAATCTCCAAAAAACCAAAATGAAAATGGTCCTCGAAGACATAAAGTAAAAAAATGTTTTCCTATAACAAAAAGTACCACAATATCAACAACTTCTGCATCCACTTCAACAACAACAGCATCTTGGCCAACAAACTATGAATTGCAACAAGAGATTACTAAAGGATTCTTAGAGTTTGCTCCTCAACTCTCTCAATCTCAACTTCAAGAGTTTATGAACACATTTTTGGACATGAACTCACATACACAGTTCTGGACATCATCACAAGTTTCAACGATTTCAACACTCAATGCTCAAATTGTTATTAACCAAGCTACAAGTCATAATACGTCTAATCCACCATCAAGTATAACCTTCACTGATGAACTTAAGCAACAGATCACTAGTTACATTTTAGAAAACGATCCAAATATAAATTCAAATGATATTATGGATATCATTAGTATTTTGGAAACAATGAGCACTATTTCTATGAAGTATTTGACTCTAGATCAGTTAACTCAATTGACATCGTATGTTGTTTCCTCATTTACGAACAATACGATTACAAATGGATTTATTTCAACAACTTCTGCATCCACTTCAACAACAACAGCATCTTGGCCAACAAACTATGAATTGCAACAAGAGATTACTAAAGGATTCTTAGAGTTTGCTCCTCAACTCTCTCAATCTCAACTTCAAGAGTTTATGAACACATTTTTGGACATGAACTCACATACACAGTTCTGGACATCATCACAAGTTTCAACGATTTCAACACTTAATGCTCAAATTGTTATTAACCAAGCTACAAGTCATAATACGTCTAATCCACCATCAAGTATAACCTTCACTGATGAACTTAAGCAACAGATCACTAGTTACATTTTAGAAAACGATCCAAATATAAGTTCAAATGATATTATGGATATCATTAGTATTTTGGAAACAATGAGCACTATTTCTATGAAGTATTTGACTCTAGATCAGTTAACTCAATTGACATCGTATGTTGTTTCCTCATTTACGAACAATACGATTACAAATGGATTTATTTCAACAACTTCTGCATCCACTTCAACAACAACAGCATCTTGGCCAACAAACTATGAATTGCAACAAGAGATTACTAAAGGATTCTTAGAGTTTGCTCCTCAACTCTCTCAATCTCAACTTCAAGAGTTTATGAACACATTTTTGGACATGAACTCACATACACAGTTCTGGACATCATCACAAGTTTCAACGATTTCAACACTTAATGCTCAAATTGTTATTAACCAAGCTACAAGTCATAATACGTCTAATCCACCATCAAGTATAACCTTCACTGATGAACTCAAGCAACAGATCACTAGTTATATTTTAGAAAACGATCCAAATATAAGTTCAAATGATATTATGGATATCATTAGTATTTTGGAAACAATGAGCACTATTTCTATGAAGTATTTGACTCTAGATCAGTTAACTCAATTGACATCGTATGTTGTTTCCTCATTTACGAACAATACGATTACAAATGGATTTATTTCAACAACTTCTGCATCCACTTCAACAACAACAGCATCTTGGCCAACAAACTATGAATTGCAACAAGAGATTACTAAAGGATTCTTAGAGTTTGCTCCTCAACTCTCTCAATCTCAACTTCAAGAGTTTATGAACACATTTTTGGACATGAACTCACATACACAGTTCTGGACATCATCACAAGTTTCAACGATTTCAACACTCAATGCTCAAATTGTTATTAACCAAGCTACAAGTCATAATACGTCTAATCCACCATCAAGTATAACCTTCACTGATGAACTTAAGCAACAGATCACTAGTTACATTTTAGAAAACGATCCAAATATAAGTTCAAATGATATTATGGATATCATTAGTATTTTGGAAACAATGAGCACTATTTCTATGAAGTATTTGACTCTTGATCAGTTAACTCAATTGACATCGTATGTTGTTTCCTCATTTACGAACAATACGATTACAAATGGATTTATTTCAACAACTTCTGCATCCACTTCAACAACAACAGCATCTTGGCCAACAAACTATGAATTGCAACAAGAGATTACTAAAGGATTCTTAGAGTTTGCTCCTCAACTCTCTCAATCTCAACTTCAAGAGTTTATGAACACATTTTTGGACATGAACTCACATACACAGTTCTGGACATCATCACAAGTTTCAACGATTTCAACACTCAATGCTCAAATTGTTATTAACCAAGCTACAAGTCATAATACGTCTAATCCACCATCAAGTATAACCTTCACTGATGAACTTAAGCAACAGATCACTAGTTACATTTTAGAAAACGATCCAAATATAAGTTCAAATGATATTATGGATATCATTAGTATTTTGGAAACAATGAGCACTATTTCTATGAAGTATTTGACTCTAGATCAGTTAACTCAATTGACATCGTATGTTGTTTCCTCATTTACGAACAATACGATTACAAATGGATTTATCTCAACAACTTCTGCATCCACTTCAACAACAACAGCATCTTGGCCAACAAACTATGAATTGCAACAAGAGATTACTAAAGGATTCTTAGAGTTTGCTCCTCAACTCTCTCAATCTCAACTTCAAGAGTTTATGAACACATTTTTGGACATGAACTCACATACACAGTTCTGGAAATCATCACAAGTTTCAACGATTTCAACACTTAATGCTCAAATTGTTATTAACCAAGCTACAAGTCATAATACGTCTAATCCACCATCAAGTATAACCTTCACTGATGAACTCAAGCAACAGATCACTAGTTATATTTTAGAAAACGATCCAAATATAAGTTCAAATGATATTATGGATATCATTAGTATTTTGGAAACAATGAGCACTATTTCTTTGAAGTATTTGACTCTAGATCAGTTAACTCAATTGACATCGTATGTTGTTTCCTCATTTACGAACAATACGATTACAAATGGATTTATCTCAACTACTTCTGCATCCACTTCAACAACAACAGCATCTTGGCCAACAAACTATGAATTGCAACAAGAGATTACTAAAGGATTCTTAGAGTTTGCTCCTCAACTCTCTCAATCTCAACTTCAAGAGTTTATGAACACATTTTTGGACATGAACTCACATACACAGTTCTGGACATCATCACAAGTTTCAACGATTTCAACACTCAATGCTCAAATTGTCATTAACCAAGCTACAAGTCATAATACGTCTAATCCACCATCAAGTATAACCTTCACTGATGAACTTAAGCAACAGATCACTAGTTACATTTTAGAAAACGATCCAAATATAAGTTCAAATGATATTATGGATATCATTAGTATTTTGGAAACAATGAGCACTATTTCTATGAAGTATTTGACTCTAGATCAGTTAACTCAATTGACATCGTATGTTGTTTCCTCATTTACAAACAATACGATTACAAATGGATTTATTTCAACAACTTCTGCATCCACTTCAACAACAACAGCATCTTGGCCAACAAACTATGAATTGCAACAAGAGATTACTAAAGGATTCTTAGAGTTTGCTCCTCAACTCTCTCAATCTCAACTTCAAGAGTTTATGAACACATTTTTGGACATGAACTCACATACACAGTTCTGGACATCATCACAAGTTTCAACGATTTCAACACTCAATGCTCAAATTGTTATTAACCAAGCTACAAGTCATAATACGTCTAATCCACCATCAAGTATAACCTTCACTGATGAACTTAAGCAACAGATCACTAGTTACATTTTAGAAAACGATCCAAATATAAGTTCAAATGATATTATGGATATCATTAGTATTTTGGAAACAATGAGCACTATTTCTATGAAGTATTTGACTCTAGATCAGTTAACTCAATTGACATCGTATGTTGTTTCCTCATTTACGAACAATACGATTACAAATGGATTTATTTCAACAACTTCTGCATCCACTTCAACAACAACAGCATCTTGGCCAACAAACTATGAATTGCAACAAGAGATTACTAAAGGATTCTTAGAGTTTGCTCCTCAACTCTCTCAATCTCAACTTCAAGAGTTTATGAACACATTTTTGGACATGAACTCACATACACAGTTCTGGACATCATCACAAGTTTCAACGATTTCAACACTCAATGCTCAAATTGTTATTAACCAAGCTACAAGTCATAATACGTCTAATCCACCATCAAGTATAACCTTCACTGATGAACTTAAGCAACAGATCACTAGTTACATTTTAGAAAACGATCCAAATATAAGTTCAAATGATATTATGGATATCATTAGTATTTTGGAAACAATGAGCACTATTTCTATGAAGTATTTGACTCTAGATCAGTTAACTCAATTGACATCGTATGTTGTTTCCTCATTTACGAACAATACGATTACAAATGGATTTATCTCAACAACTTCTGCATCCACTTCAACAACAACAGCATCTTGGCCAACAAACTATGAATTGCAACAAGAGATTACTAAAGGATTCTTAGAGTTTGCTCCTCAACTCTCTCAATCTCAACTTCAAGAGTTTATGAACACATTTTTGGACATGAACTCACATACACAGTTCTGGACATCATCACAAGTTTCAACGATTTCAACACTTAATGCTCAAATTGTTATTAACCAAGCTACAAGTCATAATACGTCTAATCCACCATCAAGTATAACCTTCACTGATGAACTCAAGCAACAGATTACTAGTTATATTTTAGAAAACGATCCAAATATAAGTTCAAATGATATTATGGATATCATTAGTATTTTGGAAACAATGAGCACTATTTCTATGAAGTATTTGACTCTAGATCAGTTAACTCAATTGACATCGTATGTTGTTTCCTCATTTACAAACAATACGATTACAAATGGATTTATTTCAACAACTTCTGCATCCACTTCAACAACAACAGCATCTTGGCCAACAAACTATGAATTGCAACAAGAGATTACTAAAGGATTCTTAGAGTTTGCTCCTCAACTCTCTCAATCTCAACTTCAAGAGTTTATGAACACATTTTTGGACATGAACTCACATACACAGTTCTGGACATCATCACAAGTTTCAACGATTTCAACACTCAATGCTCAAATTGTTATTAACCAAGCTACAAGTCATAATACGTCTAATCCACCATCAAGTATAACCTTCACTGATGAACTTAAGCAACAGATCACTAGTTACATTTTAGAAAACGATCTAAATATAAGTTCAAATGATATTATGGATATCATTAGTATTTTGGAAACAATGAGCACTATTTCTATGAAGTATTTGACTCTAGATCAGTTAACTCAATTGACATCGTATGTTGTTTCCTCATTTACGAACAATACGATTACAAATGGATTTATCTCAACAACTTCTGCATCCACTTCAACAACAACAGCATCATGGCCAACAAACTATGAATTGCAACAAGAGATTACTAAAGGATTCTTAGATTTTGCTCCTCAACTCTCTCAATCTCAACTTCAAGAGTTTATGAACACATTTTTGGACATGAACTCACATACACAGTTCTGGACATCATCACAAGTTTCAACGATTTCAACACTCAATGCTCAAATTGTCATTAACCAAGCTACAAGTCATAATACGTCTAATGCACCATCAAGTATAACCTTCACTGATGAACTCAAGCAACAGATCACTAGTTATATTTTAGAAAACGATCCAAATATAAGTTCAAATGATATTATGGATATCATTAGTATTTTGGAAACAATGAGCACTATTTCTATGAAGTATTTGACTCTAGATCAGTTAACTCAATTGACATCGTATGTTGTTTCCTCATTTACGAACAATACGATTACAAATGGATTTATCTCAACAACTTCTGCATCTACTTCAACAACTTCGTCTTCGAGCTCAACATCGTCGACCACTACAGCAATTACAGCTTCAACAATAAGTCCTGCCATAAATCAACAGGTCTCGAACACACTAAGTCAACTTGCACCTAATTTAAGTCCAACTCAAATCCAAAATCTTTTAACTGCAATCCAAACTTTGTACCAGACTTTTTATTTCACACCACTCGAATCGATTATTGTATCCCCAGGTCTTGGTACATTTTATTTAACTCATTCTGGACCATACGTTGTTGTTAGTGGAACAACCGCTGCATACACAGACGCAGATAAATTATCAATAACTTCATTTTTCAATGTTTGGGTTCCTAGAATGACAGCAAGTGAAATCCAACTTTATATCATTAATATGCAAAAAGTGAGCTATTATTCTCAAAGTATAACTGCGTTAGAAGCACTTGCATTAGCTCCAGCAATTGCGCAAATCTTTACAAACCAAGCTAATTCTCAAACCACAACTGTAAAAGCATAAATAAAGGTTATCTTGGAACAAGGATGTTTTTCTGATAATATAATCAATTTCATTTCAAGCTTCATAACTAAGAGGCGTAAATTTTTTTAATCTTGAATATTGTTATTTAATGCAAATACTTAACGTGCTTTTAATAAAATAACGAAATTCTCAAAGTTTTCAATCATAAAATTTTTATTCAATAATATTCGAATTTAGGTTTTTTCTTCCAACAAAATAGAAAATTCTTCGTTTTACATCAAATGGATTTTCCTTTCCTTTTTGTAGGTTGTAGAGCACATCGAGTTGATCATGAAGGAATTCATTTTTAAGCTGTTCAGGCATTAGCTTCAAGCAAGGATTGACAGCTTCCAATGATGCTTAAAAAAGAAAATAATTTAATTTTGAATAACTTAAAATAATAAGAATTAATACCTGTAAAGAATTCTTTGGTGCCAAAATTAAACATGTCGTTCTTTTCATCAATAAACTTGATTATTTCAATTCCACTTTCCCGTAGCATTTTCTTTATTATTTCGTCAGCATTTTCAAGGTAGCATATGTAGTTGAAATTACCTCTCCAATTGTTCATATAAGGTGAGTACTTGTCGATCAGTTCATTCCAAATATCAATTAAAATATGAGTAAGAATAAAGACGCAGCAGAAAATTCCATCAGATTTCAAAAAATTCTTAATTTTTACAAATGCTAATGGCAAGTCTTGAACCCAATGAAGACAGTAGAAAGATGAAACAATATCAAATTCTGGAAATTTCATAGGTCTTGGAATGCTCTCTTGAATATCCATTAAATGGAAGTAAATGTGATCATTTCCATATGTTTTAATAGCAAGATCTACCATTGCCTGACTCTTATCAACTCCAACAACTTTAGAGAAATTCAATTGACTTTCTGTCATAAATATTTCAACCAAGACACGTCCACATCCAGTCCCGATATCAATTATTGTTACTGAATTTTTTCCAAATTTTTCTCTCAAAATTCCCCAAAATATTTAAAAAATTTCTTGGCACTTTGGGTCTGCTCCCACGGCACTTTGGGTATACTAAAATATGAAGTACTATTAGGTTCGTAGGCATGAAAACACTTTTCGTGACAGTAAAAAAAAGAGAATAACTACCAACACTAGATGAATTGACTTCCATGCTAAAGTTTGAGTCTTTTTTAAATGTTGATAACTTTTTCTATACATGAAATTCAAACGTGTGCAGCTAGTTTAAAGTTTTTGGCTGTGAACATAAAATGCATAATTATGGAAGTAAAAAGCTTAATTATCATTTTAAATAGTAGAAGACAATTTATTATGAATTTGATCATTATGAGTTGTTAAATTGAGCAGCTTCTCATATCAATGAAGCTTTTTGGTTTTCATACAAAATTTATTATGAAAAGCTCAAATTTCGGCTTCATAACCAAAAGGCGTCAAACTTTTAATCATTTCGAAATTCTCAATTGAGCTGAAATGTGTTAAAACGTGAGCGAACATTTTTTTTATATACGCAATTGAATTTGAAATCCTTTGTTAATTTTAAAAAACATTATTGCATTCGTAAGTTTTAAGATTCAATCAAAGTTGGCAAGACTCGTGGAGTCAGACTTCAGTGAGCGTCCAGAGTCCACATCTGAATTTTGGATTCAATATCCAGATCCCAAAAAATGTCAAGTCATAGCAGACTACACGAAAAAAAATAGTGAGAGGGAGGGAGGGGGGGGGGGTATAAGTTTTGTGACTTACTTACTCACTTCGCTGGCCGTACAGATCAATTGTAATTCATGGACTCCCATAATTGGCACCTGAAGCTGGCTCTATCGCTGGCTACCTTTTGCCAATTACCCATACTGAATGCGCGCAAATTTGGTGACGATTCAAACAAAATAAATTTTTCTTAATTCAAAATTTAAACCAAATTAAGGAGGTTCGGATTTGCAAATTATAGGTAAATTAAATGTTTAAAAGAAATTGAAATAGTTTGGTTATTTTTAAATTGAAAAGTAAAGCTTATTTTTTTAGTTCTCTATGAAAAAAGAACAAAACTGACAGGAATTATTCCGTTCAACTTTAATCTTATCTTTTAAAATTAAATAATCACACTAACAATCAGAAAGGGTTAGTTTAAAAATTTTGAAAAGACGCTGTTTCAAATAACGAATATAAAATTAAAATGTTAATTTAGGAATATTTAGAATGGCATGAATATTAGAAAATTCTGTAATTTGCTTTTTTAAGCTCTTAAAATACATTAAAAAAAATATCCCATTATCATTATTATTAAAATACAAAAAGCATTCGTTCCATTTGTAATCGCTCACTTTCATGATAACATTGTGATGAGTTTATTTTTAAATCAGCCTTATGTTATTTTTAGACATTATCAGCATTTTTATTTTTAAACAGTCGTTCAGTTATTTTTGTCAATTATCAGTGGAACAATGAAATTATTTGAAAGCATTATTCAGGCTTCCGGCACAACGCATTCTGCTACAGTAATCTTTTTTCATGGATCAGGTAAAATTTTCGAGGTTTAAAAAGTGAATAAATTAAGTGTTTTATTCCATAAATAGGTAGCACTGGAAATAACTTGATAGAATGGATTCGATTTTTGATGGGAAGAAACTTTGACATTCCATACGTAAAGTTTATATTTCCAACAGCTCCAATGCAAAAGTAGGTATCAACTAGTGTATCGGGTAGAAACCCAATGCGGATATATTCACACCGTACCATCAAAAGTCTTATGGATAGACCAAGATTTGCTTAGCATAAGTTCGAATGAATAAAGCTAGCGAATCAGCTGAGCTTCGCTCAGCATAAGTTTAAAGATATAAAGCTCGTGAGTCAGCTGAGCTTCGCTCAGCATAAATTTGAAAGTATGAAGCTAGCGCGTCAGCTGAGCTTCGCTCAGCATTTGTTTGAAGCTTAACAAAAATTTTTTAAAAGATTTTTAAAAATTTTTTTTCATCCAAAGTTGAATTTTATAAAAATCACAGTGAACTTTTGTTTTGAAAAATTCGTAAGAAAGGAAAGTTTTTTGCTTTTCCTGAAGCAACGGCTGTTCCTACCTTGCCCAAAAACAATACAGCTCTTCTATAGAGCAGTACGGTTCAAATGCAAAAAATTAGAAGTCTCTAAGATGTCTCGTTATTGAGATTTCTTGCTGATTAACTTGCTTGTTTGCGTGTTTGCTTGTTTGCTTGTTTGCTTGCTTACAGAAAGCGTATTTTGCGATTTTCTCAGCAATGCCGCAACCAATTTGAAATCTGTTTTTTGCAAAAGATGTGGAATTTCAGGCACAAACTTTTCATCTCTGAACATTTTAAGCTATCTTGCTCCATATCCTCACAAAATTCAAAAAACTGATTTTTCAATCTGAACAAAACCAATAGATTCACACGTGAAAACGGTGTGAATATAAAATGAATTAACCCTGTTAATTTAGCCATTCTCAATCTACATTAAAATCTGAAGTTTAATTGCAAGAATTATTTATTATTAATTTCTTTAACTCCCTTAAATTGCCCTTATTTTTATTTAAAAAAAAAAAACAATAAAATATTAAATCACAAATATAAACCCTAAAGGCATACACCACTCAAAGGAAAGTACAGCAGGGTGTGGTTTGATTGCAATAAAATTTCAATATATGATTCGGAGCGCATTGAATCATTATCATCAATTTATGAAACAGTTGATGCATTGTTAAATCGTGAAATAGAAGGTTGTGGTATTCCTGCAAATCGCGTCATTATTGGTGGTAAGTAACCAATTGGATGTTAATCACCTATTTGCACAAGAGTCACACACTAATGTTATCAATCAAATAAGGGGTCGTTCGTAAATAACGTTAAAAACTATCGGGAATTTTTTGTTTGCTCCTCAACTCTCTTAATCTCAACTTCAAGAGTTTATGAACACATTTTTGGACATGAACTCACATACACAGTTCTGGACATCATCACAAGTTTCAACGATTTCAACACTCAATGCTCAAATTGTCATTAACCAAGCAACAAGTCATAATACGTCTAATGCACCATCAAGTATAACCTTCACTGATGAACTCAAGCAACAGATCACTGGTTACATTTTAGAAAACGATCCAAATATAAGTTCAAATGATATCATGGATATCATCAGTATTTTGGAAACAATGAGCACTATTTCGTTGAAGTATTTGACTCTAGATCAGTTAACTCAATTGACATCGTATGTTGTTTCCTCATTTACGAACAATACGATTACAAATGGATTTATCTCAACTACTTCTGCATCCACTTCAACAACAACTTCATCTTCTAGCTCAACATCGTCGACCACTACAGCAATTACAGCTTCAACATTAAGCCCTGCAATAAATCAACAGGTCTCGAGCACACTAAGTCAACTGGCACCCAATTTAAGTCCAACTCAAATCCAGAATCTTTTAACTGCTATCGAAACTTTGTACCAGACCTTTTATTTCACACCACTCGAATCGATTATTGTATCCCCAGGTCTTGGTACATTTTATTTAACTCATTCTGGACCATATGTTGTTGTTAGTGGAACAACCGCTGCATACACAGACGCAGATAAATTATCAATAACATCATTTTTTAATGTTTGGGTGCCCAGAATGACAGCAAGTGAAATCCAACTTTATATCATTAATATGCAAAAAGTGAGCTATTATTCTCAAAGTATAACTGCGTTAGAAGCACTTGCATTAGCTCCAGCAATTGCGCAAATCTTTACAAACCAAGCTAATTCTCAAACCACAACTGTAAAAGCATAAATAAAGGTTATCTTGGAACAAGGATGTTTTTCTGATAATATAATCAATTTCATTTCAAGCTTCATAACTAAGAGGCGTAAATTTTTTTAATCTTGAATATTGTTATTTAATGCAAATACTTAACGTGCTTTTAATAAAATAACGAAATTCTCAAAGTTTTCAATCATAAAATTTTTATTCAATAATATTCGAATTTAGGTTTTTTCTTCCAACAAAATAGAAAATTCTTCGTTTTACATCAAATGGATTTTCCTTTCCTTTTTGTAGGTTGTAGAGCACATCGAGTTGATCATGAAGGAATTCATTTTTAAGCTGTTCAGGCATTAGCTTCAAGCAAGGATTGACAGCTTCCAATGATGCTTAAAAAAGAAAATAATTTAATTTTGAATAACTTAAAATAATAAGAATTAATACCTGTAAAGAATTCTTTGGTGCCAAAATTAAACATGTCGTTCTTTTCATCAATAAACTTGATTATTTCAATTCCACTTTCCCGTAGCATTTTCTTTATTATTTCGTCAGCATTTTCAAGGTAGCATATGTAGTTGAAATTACCTCTCCAATTGTTCATATAAGGTGAGTACTTGTCGATCAGTTCATTCCAAATATCAATTAAAATATGAGTAAGAATAAAGACGCAGCAGAAAATTCCATCAGATTTCAAAAAATTCTTAATTTTTACAAATGCTAATGGCAAGTCTTGAACCCAATGAAGACAGTAGAAAGATGAAACAATATCAAATTCTGGAAATTTCATAGGTCTTGGAATGCTCTCTTGAATATCCATTAAATGGAAGTAAATGTGATCATTTCCATATGTTTTAATAGCAAGATCTACCATTGCCTGACTCTTATCAACTCCAACAACTTTAGAGAAATTCAATTGACTTTCTGTCATAAATATTTCAACCAAGACACGTCCACATCCAGTCCCGATATCAATTATTGTTACTGAATTTTTTCCAAACTTTTCTCTCAAAAATTCCCCAAAATATTTAAAAAACTTCTTGGCACTTTGGGTCTGCTCCTCATTATGTTTTGAATACAACTTTGCCTTATCCATGATTTTTTTAAAAAATTTAATTTAAAAAAAAACTTGAAAGTTAACTTGCTGAAGGTTTAAAGACGAATGGTGATATTTATACTAAAATGTGAAGTACTATTAGGTTCGTAGGCATGAAAATAGTTTTCGCGACAGTAGAAAAAGAGAATAACTACCAACACTAGAACAAATTGACTTCCATGCTAAAGTTTGAGTCTATTTTAAATGTTGATAATTTGGACTCTATACATGAAATTTTATTCAAACGAGTGCAAATTGAATAATTCATAATTATGGAAGTAAAAATCTTAAATAATCTTTCGATTGGTTTTCATACAAAATTTATTGTGAAAAGCTCAAAATTTCAGCTTCATAATCAAAAGCCGCAAAACTTTTTAATCCTTTTGAAATTCTCAATTGAGCTGAAATGTCTTCAAACGTGAGCGAACATTTTTCTATATACGAACTTGAATTTAAAAGCCTTAATTAACCTTAAACAGCATTATTGCATTCGTAAGTTTGAAGATTCAATCAAAGTTGGCAAAACTCGTGGAGTCTGCCTTGAGTGAGCTCGTGGAGACCGCACCTTAAAGTTCTGGATTCAATATCATAGAATAACTAGAAAATAGTCCAGATCCTGAAAATGTCAAGTCATATCAGACTCCTCTTTATTAATATTTAAAATTTTTGACTGGTATTTCAAGAGTAATTCAAAATTTCATATCAGGAAACGACAAATCTTTTTTTTTTGAGCAATCACGAGCAGAAAATGTCTTAAAAAAAATATTATTTATTAAAATAAAAAAAATAATAGTGAGGGAGAGGGGGGGGGGGGGTGTCTAAATTTTGTGACTTGCTTACTTACTTCGCTGGCCGTAACGATCAATTATGATCCATGGACTAAATGCGCGCAAATGAGACGATTGAAAAAAATAATTTTTTCTTAATACAAAATTTAAACCAAATTAAGGAGGTTCAGTTTTGCAAATTACATGTCAATTTAATTTTTAAAAGAAATTCAAATTGGAATAGTTTAGGAGCAATAATTTATTGAAACTGATTTTATATTTTTAAATTGAAAGGTAAAGCTTATTTTTTGTTTTTTATGAAAAAAGAACAAAACTGACAGGAATTATTCCGTTCAACTTTAATCTTATCTTTAAAAATTAAATAATCACACCATTAAGTTAAACCTGTTTGTTTAAAAAATCTTCAAAAACGCTGTTTTAAATGAAGAATTTCAAAAATTAAATGTTAAATTGGTAATATTTGTAATATTAGAAAATTCTGTGATTTGATTTTTTAAGCTTTTAAAATGCATTAAATTGTAAATTTTCTTACCTTTTTAAAATCTTTTAAATATCGATAAAAATAAACTTCAGATTTTATTTCATTTTTTTTAAATACAAAACGCAGTCGTTCCATTTGTAATCGCTCACTTTCATGATAACATTGTGATGAGTTTATTTTTAAATCAGCCTTATGTTATTTTTAGACATTATCAGCATTTTTATTTTTAAACAGTCGTTCAGTTATTTTTGTCAATTATCAGTGGAACAATGAAATTATTTGAAAGCATTATTCAGGCTTCCGGCACAACGCATTCTGCTACAGTAATCTTTTTTCATGGATCAGGTAAAATTTTCGAGGTTTAAAAAGTGAATAAATTAAGTGTTTTATTCCATAAATAGGTAGCACTGGAAATAACTTGATAGAATGGATTCGATTTTTGATGGGAAGAAACTTTGACATTCCATACGTAAAGTTTATATTTCCAACAGCTCCAATGCAAAAGTAGGTATCAAAATGAATTAACCTTGTTAATTAAAATAATTATTTTTTATTAATTTCTTTAACTCCCTTAAATTGCCCTTATTTTTATTTAAAAAAAAAAAAACAATAAAATATTAAATCACAAATTTAAACCCTAAAGGCATACACCACTCAAAGGAAAGTACAGCAGGGTGTGGTTTGATTGCAATAAAATTTCAATATATGATTCGGAGCGCATTGAATCATTATCATCAATTTATGAAACAGTTGATGCATTGTTAAATCGTGAAATAGAAGGTTGTGGTATTCCTGCAAATCGCGTCATTATTGGTGGTAAGTAACCAATTGGATGTTAATCACCTATTTGCACAAGAGTCACACACTAATGTTATCAATCAAATAAGGGGTCGTTCGTAAATAACGTTCAAAACTATCGGGAATTTTTTTATAAATGACAAAAAGAACTCTATTAAAATCTACGACCCTATCCCTATCCCTATCGATCGAGGGAACCCTAGATTTAAATAGATTCTAATAGAATATAATTTTTCTGGAACAAAACCATTATTCAAATCAAGAACCCCCAGTTTTGGGTAATAATAATTTAACGAGTAAAGACTTAGTTTTCTTTTTTTCTAATTTCACTGCAAATTCAAAATTTTTTCATTTAATCAGGTTTTAGCATGGGAGGCGCACTAGCATTACACACAGCGTATCATTTGAAAACAAATCTCGCCGGCGTTTTTTGTGCATCATCTTATTTAAATGAAGGATCGATTGTGTACAGGTCGCTTGATAATCATTCAAAGAATAACTTGCCACCGCTTAAAATGTTTCACAGTGAAAAGTAAATTATATTAAAATTACGAAACTGATCAATATGACCAAAAATGATGAAAAGTTAATTAATCAGTTCCGGAACCATTTTCTAAGTCATTTTTTAAAAAGTTGACATTATTTTCAAACAGTGATCCATTCATACCAATGAAATGGGGAGTAAAAACATTTGAGGAACTTAAGACACGAGGAGTTAAAGGAGATTTTATACCAGTTAAGAGTAATTCACATGAGCTGAAATCTCGAATGCTGATTGATGTTGAAAACTGGATACGAGAAATTGTGCCACCACTTCAAAGTGATATTGCTAATAAATTGTAAAATTAATAAAATATTTTAAAAGTTGAACAAATTGACTTGAAATTTTTTAGAACATATAAAGTATAAAAAATGCTTCTGTCTTTCAGGCAGAAGTTCAAGCTATTTGTGAGGGTGCTAATTACTGTTTGGATATGGATTTGAAAGGCTGTAGGATTTGCTTTCTTTCAGATTGTCGATCAGCTTTGACGGCTTTAAACAATTGTGTTGTGAAGTCTTTAACAGTTCTTGATTGTATTTCTTGTTTAACAGCATTGGGGCAAGAAAATGAAGTCATCCTAAAATGGATACCTGGTCACAGTGGTATTGAAGGTAATGAAATAGCTGATCAATTAGCTAAAGAAGCAGTACACAAGGAAGATTATGACAAGTCGACGTACCATGGGTTTGGCTTGTTGAAGTCAAACATACGAGAATGGATGGAGAGACAACATTTTCGTATCTGGAATTTAGAGGAAGGAGCCATGACAGCCAAAAGACTTCTTGGTCCTAAAAATAAGAACAAAATATCTGATGCTCTCAGACTACCAAGGAAAGATCTTAGCATCTTAATTGGTGCTTTGACAGGACACATGAGTATCAATAGTTTTCTTTTTAAATTGAATTTGTCTAACAGTAAAATTTGCAGGTTTTGTAAGGTAAATGAGGAAACAATCATTCATATTCTTTGTAAATGCAGAGCATTACGAGTACAACGTGTCAAGCACTTTGATAAGGATTACATAAATGATGAGGATACTAGTAGGTAGCACTATCAGGACATTATTGGCTTCATCAAGGGCATAGGAATTTTATCATAGATGGCTTGGGATGGTACAACAGATCATCGATCGCAGTGCCGTTTTTGCTCTAAGCAAAACCCTACATTACATTCTATTCTAAGTATGAAAAAGCTACAGAACATAGTTTTATCACTTGTGTATTGTCATAAAGATAAGTTACATATCTAAAAGGCGTAAGTAATTCTCCTTCTCCAAAATTTAGCCGTTTTTAACAGATCTTCTGAATTCGCATGTAAAGTTTTATATAAATTGCCTCAAACGCAATTTCACATTTTAATTGTATTTGAATCTTAAAGTGAATTTGAGCTAAAATGAATATTTTATTATCTTTATTGTGTGTGATTTTGGTCGTTGGTAAGTTAAATTTTTTTTGGAATCAAAATTTAATTTATTTGAAATTAAAAAGTTATAATTTTGAGTTTGAACCAGTTGCATTAAAAGTTCAACGTTTGGTTGCATTAAACGTGTCGAACTTTATTGAGAAAGGTGTCTACGTGATAAATGTTACTCGTGTAGCTTCATATGAACGTTCTACTAGCTGAAAGGGAATATATGAACTATTTTTTATGGACATCTTTTTCATTTAATTTTGATGTAACTGATAAGTGATCACCAAAGTTCAAACACCACTTCTTTCAATTAGTAAATTACTACGATCGTAAAAAATTGATTTCTTTAGGATTAAAATGAGTATCGGGGATCAAATCTTGATGTCCAAACATATTTCAATCAAAGCTTAAATCCGAAAAAAATCACATTTCTTTTCAAAATTCGTTTAAAATCTGATTCATCTGATCAAAATTTAATGATCAGCCTAGGGGCGGCCGTTTAATTATGACGTCCGAAATTAATGGTCATTTTAGAAAAAAAATTAATGGATTTCCAGGAATTTCTATTGTTCTTTTCTGTCTGACCCCCCCCCCCCCCCCCCCCCCCCCCCCCCCTGGACGTCATAAGTGAACGGCCCCCTAATAAACAAATGTTTCTTATTAAATCTAAATTAACAATTAATAGCCAACATATTTTGCATAGTAACAAATCAATAAATCCTCAATTTTTGTACAGAATTCAAACTATTTGAACAACTGTTTGCAAAAACAGTTGAAATAAAAAAATTTTATTTTTAGTGCATTAAATTTATTTTTATACATTTCAATTATCAATACTTTCGATCTGATCAAATAACAAATAAAAATGCATTAAAAACGAAGCACGAGGATTAAAAACAATAATGATTCAAACTCTTCATACATCCAAATTTATAAATAACTTTTTAATTAATATTAATAATAATTGAACAGACTATGCAGACTTTGCTCAGCAAGCACCAAAATCTCGTAAACATAAAATTGCAAAATGTTTTCCAGTTAGTACAACAACCTCTACAACAGCATCTTGGTCATCGAATTATGATCTACAACAAGTAGTTACGAAAATATTTTTAGATACTGCACCTCAATTAACTCAAACACAACTTCAAGAAATTATGAAGGCACTACAAAACATGAACACATATACACAATACTGGACCGCATCTCAGGTTTTTGAGATTTCAAAACGAAACTCTTTAATTGTCCAAGAAAATATGGTCGCACAAAATACATGCTTATCAGCAAACATGATCTTTTCGCATGAAGTTAAAGAAGAAATGATTAAATATACAAAGGAACTAAATCCAAATATGAGTATGGAAGATATCTTAGGAGAGATTAGTGTCGTTGAAGAAATCGGTACTGCTTGTATGAGATACCTGACTCTTGAACAATACAAACAGCTTAGAGGAGAAGTTGTATTAGCGTTTGCAAATGCATCAACTACTCCCTGTTCAACAGCATCCACCACAACTGCATTGTCTAGCTCGAGTTCTGAGCATAATCATGGCTAGTTTGAAACTAGTTCATATCCAGAATTTTTTAATTCCAACTCAAACTTTGTTTCAGACAATTTAATTCCAATTTGTAACTTACAAGTTACTCAAAGTCCAAAATAAAGGATCATCTAAAAAAATGTACAGCATCAGGTTTTGTTTCATTTAAATGTTCAGAATGGAGGAATCAGAATGGCTTTATCCAGAAGACCAATTTTAGACCGATTCACAGAAATCAGACAAAAATCTAGAACTTAATTTTATTGTAAATTTTTTTTACATTAAGTCGTTCTCCCCTTGAATTCCTAATTCCTATTGTACTCTTTTTATAGACATTCACCCAGAAATTATTCACTAAACGTACAAAGTAATTAACATAAATTTCTCACAATTTTATGTCTGCATCTTATGAATGATTGCGATCCCAGACAGACAACGACATAATATTTTCATCTATTTATAACCCATTTACAGCAATAAAACAATAAATTAATTCTCATCTAATTTGCAACATTGTACTCAACCTACAACATCATGAAGCCATGAGCATAATAAATAATTAATTAAAATTAATCTCAATCACAACTTTTTTTTCTTGCTGCCATAACAAATTCATTTACTTCCTCGACTTTGCATGTTTTTGTCTTTTTTTTTTCAATTTATAATCCACAAACACCGCCGACATTGCCGCAATCTACATTTCTCAATTTATGTCTGTTGGTTTATTCCTCATTTTTGTGGATTTTACTATTCTCACTACGCTTACTACTTTGTCTATGGAACAACACGAAAAGTTTAATTGTAGGGAATTGAACGAGATAGGGAATAAAGTACACCGCATTAAGTTGGTCTTGTACATAATTACATTCTATTAGATTTCATCGTTTCTTCTTAATACAATTTTTCACTTCTTATTCTCTTTGTGTCTCTCCGTTTTAAACACAAAAAAAAGGTATAGGACGAGTTTGTTGGTGGTAATGGAGAACGACGGAAGAAACAATTTCACTGTGCTGTATGTGAAGTGCATCAATTTATAATGAAAAGGTTTAGAGTGTAATTTTTGTTTGTGGGGATTTTGAGCTTAAAGGGTGAATTCAGACCGTCTAGTCACAGTTACTGTATGAAAATGATTCACATCTTGCCTCCTTCACCATGGCTATGTCCTTTAGGTAGATTTGTAAGGCTATGATTGGTACCTCATGTAATCACACTAAAACTTTATTTATATCTCAAGTCCTCCAGTTTGGTTGATTTCAATGCAAAGCAAAGATAGAATGCACCAAGTAGCCCAACAAATAAGCCTTTGGTGTCCATCTTCATTTATATTAGTGTTATCCTATTGGATTTTGAGCTCAATACCTCAAAAAAAGATTATTGTAGGTTTTGTTTGGGAAACAAGTCATTCAAACTTAGCCAAAGTAAGCCATTGAGTATCAAATATTCAATACCAAAGCCAGCAAACTTATACTACTGTTAATCATGAACTCCTTCACAAACTTAAAATAAAAATCAATTTCAATCTACACGGTCTGAATACACCAAAGCAGCTCACTCGAGGAAAAAAATTGCTGTTGAAAAAAAATGCTTATTTTCATTATTTCCGTGCACTTAAACGTGATTCATAAATAAAATACTATAAAAAAAAACTTTTTTAAAAAAGCACGCTTTTATTTCCGATTACAGTGCACTAAAAAGGAGAAAATAATTTTTTTCTGAGAACTCAAATTTGATACAAAATTTTATGACTAAAAATTAAAGCGTGGGGCGTTTAATTTAAACCAGCTCTAGATTTTCTATAATATATTCACAAACCTATTTGTGCTTTTGTAAACATATATGGATGATTTTTAATTGTCACAATTCAAGATTTAGTGATGCATGCAAGAATGCCCCACGCTTTTATTTTTAGTCATAAAATTTTGTATCAAATTTGAGTTCTCAGAAAAAAATTATTTTCTCCTTTTTAGTGCACTGTAATCGGAAATAAAAGCGTGCTTTTTTAAAAAAGTTTTTTTTTATAGTATTTTATTTTCTACTTTTTAGTTTTATCAAATCTATAAATCAATTCAACTTCCAAAATTTGGAATTTTTGTTTTATTACAACACTGGTTCTATCAAACTTAATAAGGAGGTTACAGTTTTTAGATTGCAGGAAGTTTTAGATTTCACTTCGCTTCACTCCGTTTCATTCAACTTTTTATGAATTAACAGTTTTTAATGGGTAATTAGTAAAGACTGTCAAAATTTTTCATTCGTTTTAAATTATTTAATTCATACCTGAAAATACATGAAACTCTTTTAAAAATGTCCTAACTTCAAATAAAGATTTTGAGTTTATCCGTCCCATTCCTACTACATAACATGTAGATTCTTAACATAAAGATGAAAATCACATCTATACGTAACGTATTTATAACGGATTTTTTCAAATTTAAATTTAATGAATGTCATTTATATGATATGCAAAAATATGTCAAGCCGTTAATAAATAGAATAATTAACATAATTAAATTGGTGAAGTGTTATAAATATTGTAAAAAAATTAAAACAGCATAAATGTATGCTCTAAATATGTGTGCTAAATGCACATCGCATATTGATAGTTATTTTGCATTAATTAGTAACGGACTTGTGTTTAACGGTTTTTTTGAAAATTCAAATTTTCACTTACGAATGTTCATGAAAAAATTACTTGTCAAATTTTTTGTCTTGCCAAAATATCTTTAGCTGCTCAAATTTATAGTAAAATCAATAATTAGTAATATTACTTAAACTATAATGAATCATATAAATGACTTTTGAGCATTTCAAGTATAATATTTTAAACAAATCAAAATTTCATATCATTGACAATGGATTTTTTCCCATATAAAAAAGTTTTACTTAAATTGTACTATAATTAAGCATTTTTGTGGTTCCAAAGTGTTACAATATTGTATTGTCACCGGGAATACGTGTGTATACAAAATTTGAGCTCGATTGGAGCAATAGAAGTGGTCGAAAAATCGATTGCAAGATTTGACGCTCCATAACAGAGTGAGTTAAATAAAAGCGTGTAATGTAATAATAATAAAATGGCACGATCAACCTCTTAAAGGTCGTGCATTTTATTTAACACATATTATAGAAGATGTGCAATACTTAAATTTAATAATGTTAAGCGGATGCACTTCCTCGGTTGTTGATACAATTCTATTGTTCTGACTTTTTTTAATGCAAATCCTACAGAATTGCCGACTTTTATGCTTACTGATGTAGAAAAAAATTCTCTTGGTTGATGACATACCCTTGATATGGGTTTTTATGTATATTGAGTAATGATGCCTTTTTATATTGAATTATTTACAGTTCATTTGATGCTGTGTTCAATATATTGATGCTAATAATAGTCGGAAGTAATATTCAAAATGACATGGAAATGTTTTGAATGACAAAGGAATTAGAATCAAATGTAAATGCAGTGTGTGCGAGGAAAAAATGGGCATGCTTAATGTCATTTTTCAAAAAAGATCTATTGTTCTTTTCTTGCTGACCCCCTCCCCCCCCCCCCCCCCCCCCCCCCCCTTCAAAAAGTTAAAAGTCTCTAATAAAAAAAACCCAGACCCACCTCATCGTGGGGCTGGAATTCTACCTCAAATAATTTTTGGCTGCACCCTCAATCCTTGTCCTGTACATTTAACTTATTTTTTCTGAACCACACTTTACAAATCCTTCCCACACAAGCATATCTAAATGTATTTGCATGTTCGATGAAGAGAAAAATAAGAAATCATCTATTATCGTCGTCTCTGCATCGACATCTTTCTTTATTCTTTCCCCCTTTTTTGTCCTTATTTCCATCCCTTCTCCCTACTTTTATATTCAATTTTCATTTTCTGCTGACTGTGTTTAGAGTAGAGAGTTCAGTGAATTGATTAACACTGTGATTACATAGAACTTTGAAACACTTATAAATGCTAATTTTTTTTCTGCTTCTTGCTGCTGTGCCCTCATTCCATTCCAGTTATTTATCTCCCTCATTCTAACTCATTCCACAATCTTTAGACTTAGATAATTGTCGTTATTTATTTTAATGATTCTCGCAATGTCTACCGCAGAAATTTTCCTTTATTGATTTTTATGAAACTGAAGAAAATTTTCTGTATAAAAATAATTATTCAAATAAATTAGTTCCAATTTTAGAACATGATTTACAATCCTCGAGGCAATTTTCATTAATTTTTCTGTAAAATATCTCGACATAAATTTCATCGTCATATAAATGATTAAAGAGCGCTATTTAAGGTTAGTGGATGTTGGTAGGGTTCTGGTTGGTGATCGTTTTGTCTCAGGATATTGTTACCTTAAGTTAAGAATCGATAAACTACTCTTGAGTATAAATGAAGTCTGACTGAAACTAGAGTGAGGTACACGGGTAGTATTATGAATAGGTCCTATGAAAATACAACAGTGGTGCACAACCTTTTTTGTGCCACGGCACACATTGATGGAATGCTATGACTGAAAACCATACGGGTCGTGAGTGTAGTGTGCCGAAACACATGGGTTGTCCATGACTGGTTAACTAGATTCTTTCGGTCCTTATTAGTAATGCAAATCGAGGACATAAATCACAGTGCGCCTAAGTGAGTGCCTTTTAGTCTTTACAATCGCACTTTTCTTACAATCCAAACAATGCGCCATAAAACATATATCTCTTACTTCTATACAACCATCCACAACCCATCGTAATTACTCATTAATATTTAATACCTTCCAACGCTACAGATGAATTAAATTTGGAAAATAATTTCTGTCTCTTATGCTCAAGTCAATTTTAATTTAGCTTCACATTTCAAAGTGAAGAAGCAAGGATGAAATATGTCTGTAGATGTATAGAGCTTCTATAGGTCATGGTTAATTGCATTTAAGTGCAACAACAATATTCAATTTCTTTCCATAAATTTCATCTCAAAAAAAAATATGTGCAGTGACTAAAATAAAATTTAAAGCAAAAAAAAAATTCATGCAAAAACATTGAGTGAGAAATGAATAAATGAAGAGGAGGAAGTAAGTGGAAAGATGAGAATCGCATTCATCATATGACTTGGCATGCATTCAAACAGGAATTATTTATTTTAATTTAAGCTTCCATTAATATCATGATCGAGAACGGCTGTCTGCATCGCATAAAGAAGGAATGAAAAAGATGAATAAAATCTGCTTAAAAATGGACGGAGGAAATGGCATCAAGTTGCAATGTGAATTGGGGAATTTTATACTTCAACATTTTCCTCATTTTTGATGGTTTTTTAATTGCTTTTCTAAAGTAACAAGTTCAGTTAAGAACTTAAATAAGGCACCTTTCAATTATTATTATCTTTAAATAGAATATGTTGGAAATGATGGCAAATATGTCAAATCCTCTAATTGCTGCTGACATCATGATTAATTCCTCTAACGTGTGAAACTGAACAAAAGCAAAATCAACAGCATCTAAAACCAAAATTAAAAACGAAGCGGAAGTGTCGAAAACATTTTTGCTTGTCGCATTTTTTTCCTTCATTTCACTTGATTTGTTTGTCTGCGACATAAAGAAGTGTGAGGAGTTAAAAGAATGTAGAAAAGGGCTAAAGCCACTGGCAGTATTGTGGAAATTAAGAGTTATGTGATTCAGGAATGACTTCATTAATATGCACATCTTGTAAAACACGACAAAATATGGTGTCTGCTAATCTGCTCCGAAGCATTATTTTCTCCTTTTTTTTGCATCTCTCATTCTCTATGGAATTAACATAGGCATGTCATGCTGATGCTGATTTGCTACATCTATGCATGTCCGTAAAATTTTGCCATCTCTCAATATATCGAATTTGTATCACATGGAATATCAAATTCATTAGATTGGCTGAACTTTTGCTCCGTGATGACCCTAAAAAATATATGTATACAGGCACAGGATATAGAAGTGAATATGTATGTTAGGAACGAGAGAAAAATGACAGGCAATTAAAGGCAACATGGGAAGTCAATTCAAAGTATCGACACATTTAGGTCTGTTTTGATTCCTTGCAATGATTTTTTTGAGCTAATTTTGAATCTTTTAATGTTATTTGATGTCTAGCGACGAGGATATGTCGAAACAAAGCTACATTTAGTGGTCCTGGACAGAGTTCAGGGTTTCAGGGAAATCTACAAGGATTGGATCTACGTGCCACCCAACAGAATCCAATCCACCAATCCAATTGAAATCCACTAAAAATCACCGCAATGGACACTATCCCTCCAATCAGTATAACTTGACAGCATACCAAATTATTTTACGTTCATGTCCAGTCGCATTGTCACATTCGATTTTTAATTTGATTAGTTCCATCCACGTTATGTGCATGAACTAAGGTAGATCCGTTGGGGTTTGCATTTTACAGCTCTATGAAATGGTTAGTATAGCATGAAAGTACTCTGTTAACTTATATTATTTCTACCTTTAAATATCTGTGTGTGTTTTTAATTCTCGAAACACCTTTTAGACCTTTTTCTCGTACTTTTTGTTTTTACATGTAGCATTAGAGATAGACACATTTTGTTGATGTTTCGTATGCTTTTGTAAGGATTTTGTCAGGATTGTGTTGTCATTGATTTACAGGGATTTCACAATTTATATCATGCGATGGTAAGAAAAAAGAAGCTGTACTTTAGGAATGCCCTACGATTCAAAGTAGACCAATTAGAGCTACACAAGGTACCTTCGATAATTAAGGGTAGAAAGGGATGAGTAGAATTCCCTCAGGCAGTCAAAGACAGCATACATTACTGGCTGCATCCGAGAATAACCTTGACAACTTTATGAAGCATTGAAAATCTCTCTGTGCACTTAGGACAGTCCCAAAACCACTCTATTCTAGATATTGCCCTGGAAATTGCTTAAAAATATACCCAAAATTCCTTCTAAGGATCACAAACACATCCATTTCGTACATAGTATCATTATTAAATACCTTCCATATGACAACAGCACAAATGAACGAAGAGCACCAGCAGCAGCAGCAATAACAGGTAAAATACTTTACTTAATTGATATTACACACACTCGGCTGTTGATGTTCTAATTACAAAAAGCTAAGCATTTGAAATTAATGGCAGATGAGGGAGGCTACAAATAATTTTTGTCGTCTATATCCAGACAATTTTCTGTGTACGTAACGTGAATGAGATATTCATTAGATAGCGTGAACAATGATGCAGTTTAAGAGCTCTCATGAAACTATTTGCACTTTACTGGTAAACATACACTATCAAGTAGATTGCGTGATCAAAGCATTGAGTGTGCTTTGAGAACTGTAAATAATAGGAGATGGTGTATTGATAAAAATGACTTTAAAAGAATTCTTAATTACCTTTTGTAGCTTAGGACTGAAAAATGGAATTGTTTTCGATTTTGAGATTTGTTTGTTGTGAATTGGCATTTTTGTTTGATTTTGGATCTGAAAGAAATAATTAAAGCGCATTCATGCTACAAAGCCATTTTTTTTCTTCAAAGAGAGGTTTTCAACTTTCAATTTTCAGTTCTTTATTAGGAAATTCGCAATAAATATGCCGCAAAACTCAAAGTTAAATTCATAATTAAGCGATGCTCAAATTTATCATAAAAATCATCTTCATAACTAAACTAAACTTCACCACAAAATTGAACTTCACCACAAAACTCACCTTCACCACAAAATTTAATTTCACCACAAAACTTATCTTTATAACAAAACTCAACTTCACCACAAAATTCAACTTCACCACAAAATTTAACTTCACCACAAAACTTATCTTTATAACAAAACTCAACTTCACGACAAAACTCAATTCCACCACAAAACTCAATCTCACCATTAAACTCAACTTCATCACAAAACTCAACTTCACCACAAAATTTAACTTCACCACAAAACTTATCTTTATAACAAAACTCAACTTCACGACAAAACTCAATTCCACCACAAAACTCAATCTCACCATTAAACTCAACTTCACCACAAAACTCAACTTCACCACAAAACTTATCTTTGTAACAAAACTCAAATTCACCACAAAACTCAATTCCACCACAAAACTCAACTTCACCACAAAACTCAATTCCACCACAAAACTCAACTTCACCACAAAACTCAACATTACCACAAAACTCAACTTCACCACAAAACTCAACTTCACCACAAAACTCAACTTAACCACAAAACTCAAATTCACCACAAAACTCAATTCCACCACAAAACTCAATCTCACCATTAAACTCAACTTTACCACAAAACTCAACTTCACCACAAAACTCAACTTCACCACAAAACTCAACTTCACCACAAAACTCAACTTCACCACAAAACTCAAATTCACCACAAAACTCAACTTTACCACAAAACTCAACTTCACCACAAAACTCAACTTCACCACAAAACTCAAATTCACCACAAAACTCAATTCCACCACAAAACTCAATCTCACCTTTAAACTCAACTTCACCACAAAATTTAACTTCACCACAAAACTTATCTTTATAACAAAACTCAACTTCACGACAAAACTCAATTCCACCACAAAACTCAATCTCACCATTAAACTCAACTTCACCACAAAACTCAAATTCACCACAAAACTCAATTCCACCACAAAACTCAATCTCACCATTAAACTCAACTTTACCACAAAACTCAACTTCACCACAAAACTCAACTTCACCACAAAACTCAACTTCACCACAAAACTCAAATTCACCACAAAACTCAACTTTACCACAAAACTCTACTTCACCACAAAACTCAACTTCACCACAAAACTCAACTTCATCACAAAACTCAACTTTACCACAAAACTCAACTTTACCACAAAACTCAACTTCACCACAAAACTCAACTTCACCACAAAACTCACCTTCACTACAAAACTCAACTATTTATACTACAAAACTCCACTAATTGTACTACAAAACTCAACTTCACCACAAAACTCAGCTTCACCACAAAACTTATCTTTAACACAAAACTCAACTTCACGACAAAACTCAATTCCACCACAAAACTCAATCTCACCATTAAACTCAATTTCATCACAAAACTTCACTTTACGGTGCAAAAATCTCAACATTCCTTAATAAAACTTCAAACCATCAATTTACTTCCTAAAAACACAAAAAAATAATTTTCACTTTCTTCTCAAAAACTTTTTCAATTCCATTTCCTAAATCCACCAAATCCCTACATCCATTCTAGACAGCAAAGAATGCTGTTGTGTTTTTAAAAAAAGTTATAAAAATTCCATTCTTAATAATTTATGGGAACTTGCAATTACATTTTTTTAACATGTAAATATGTTTTAAAATCCGAAAAAAGTGCTTTTATGTAAAATATCTCAAAAACACAGAGTGGAGCTAACCGGAGGAGGATATTTCGTAATGCAGTCCGAACATGTAAGGATGGTTAGTATTTGTATTTGCATCATGTCCACATTGGGTAGAATAAATTACACATGAAAGAGGATATTACTGTACTTGTTGGGGTATGGAGATTTTTATAGATGAAGTTAATACCTAAAGTGCAGTTTGGGTATGCTGATTAAGTCATTCAATAATTTAAAGTTGAATATTTAAATTAAAAATTGACTTAACTTTCATATTAAAGCTTCTCATCCCCTAAATGCGCTTTATCTATCCACCATCATCGGCTCTAAAATTTAATTTGCTACACAGAGGTTGTTATTGCACAATTTACGCAGTAAAAAGCACAACCAGCTTCACTTTATCGTGTGAAACTGTTCACAAATGCACAAAAACAAAGCTGAACATGACAGAGGATAGTAAAAAAAGTAAAAACATATTAAAAATGCCAGAAAAAAAATTTCAGAACACAAGAACAACATGTTATCATGCTATAAATTTACGTTTTTTTTGGGGGGATGTACGAGTGGCAGTGTTTGTGCTTTTTGTGAAAATTTTGGATAGTTTGTTGTTGCAACATATTCAGTCATTCGAATTAAATCTCAATTTCACTCCTCATGAGACTTGATTGAGTTTGATTGCTTGCAACAAAATAGCAATTTGATGTTTGAAAAGTCATTTAATGAATGAGTTGGTCTTTGATTTTACGAATGGTATTGATAATATTTTGGATTGATGTATTGTAATTTTTAAATGTCATTCGAAGGGTTTTATTGGTAGTTTAACAACAGGCGAGGTTTTAGTAAAAGGCTGTTGATCTATCCTTAAAAAACATATCACACAGAACTCGTCCACAGGCGGTGCATAGAGCGGTATCAAGAGATACTCCAAGAATTTGTATGACCTTGAAGTTCGATCAACATCAGAGTCAGACTTTGGGAATCAGGGCTTAAAGATGAACAACTTAGCTCTTAGCTTCTTTTTTTTCTATTTACTACAAGTTTTATTGATGTAATGGATTCTATATGAATTCTACACGGATTCTTTAGGCTCCTTGTGCTACTCGGGCTCTCAGACAACAAACATTCATAAAAATCAAAAAGTTAATCCAACTCCATCTCCTTTAAAAATGAAACTTCTAAAACCAATTTTATACATCATTAAATCTTTAGTAATTCAAAAACAAACTAAACTAGCTGCAAAAAACCAAAGACAATACAAGAATCTCTTCTGCATTCCACCTGTACTCAAGGCTAGACCGCAAACTATTAAAAAATAAATTTTCTTAAACAGCAGCAAAAAAAATTCTTCATTTTTTGTCCATTAATTTTTTTTTGTGTTATTCCATACGTCCTTTAACTCTTCGTCCTTATTACAATATGATAGTGGCATGCTTTGCATATAGAGAGACATACAAAAAATTTAACGATGCCCGGAAGCTTAAGCCAAAAATTTTCCATACTTTATTTTCATAAAATGCCATATGTGGCGGTGCAATAAATATTCTGTGTGTGATACACAAAAAAAAGGCTCACGAAAAAAACAATGAAAATAAAAATGTGCTTAGGTCTCAAAGAAATAAAAGAAATGTGTTTAAATGTTCCTTCTGTTTGCTGTAAAAAAATTATTTTTTATGATGAAAAAAATAAACATTTTTTATTGCTGTGTCCTTTATAATTTTTGACTGGAATTTGTTAGAGAAGTTTTGGTGGGTCAAACCAGGTCTAATAGTTTGACATTTTAGAAATGTCATGAAATTGAATCTGTTCAAACAAATGTCTTACATCCCTTCCTACCCCTCCCCCCCCCCCACCTTCTCTTCTAAGTTGTTCTGTTGCGTGAGCTATGAAGTTGCTGACTTAGTGAGCAATCGGTCAGTGCCTTGACGCGATTTATTATGAAACATGAAAAATAACTCCCAGTTCACTCTATGGCAGTGATGGTCAACCTATGTGCTGCGAAAAAAAATTATTTCCAAGTCGAACTGAACTTACCTAAGGTTTGCTCCCCCAGAATCGAAAAGCAAAGAATTACAAATTTTTGATACAAATATAATGTTTCTTTGACTAGGTTATGTACTCGTTGTAGCCCTAGAAACTACTGTAATATGTCCCACAGGGCTTCCTCTCCTCCGACAAACAAAATACACTTTTCAATCAGAGATAATAAATTTGAATTCATAGATCAATCAAATTAACAATTTTAATTAGAATAGATAACATCAAACAAGCTACTTGTAAACTCTTTCCTTATAAACCTATTCAGTGTATTTAGAACCTTCAAATCATCAAGACGTATTATTTGAAACGAATGAAATTCACACTGTTTTGGATATTTATTTCATTCTTTCGAACTCGAAACTGCAATTTAGAACTGGAAGAAAATAGTGAAATAAATTTTAGGTTAAAAGTATTTTCAGACGCAATTGAGAAGCTTTATTTTGATAATTCTATAGATTTTAACTTAATAATTTATCGGAATGCAGATAAAACAATAATTGATCAAATTGAAATTTTTAAATCTGGAAATTATGCATATGAATTGAAATTACTAAGCTTAAATCCTTCATCTTCATGTTTTGACATCGACAATTCAGCAATAATTTTCCTAGAAGATCTGGAAGCATTAAATGAATTTAACTTCTATGTTCGTTTAACAAATGACTTTCCAAAAGAATTGAAATTCTTGGTATGGTTTGATGATGCGACAATATCATTAATACATGTTGAGCACTTATATGATGATTATGGCGATATTACTCAGTATGAATACATCATTTTCTATATTGAAGACAATTTGAATATTTTTACTTTTGATTGGTTTGAAGAAGAATTTTGTGGATCACCAAAGCTTTTGGCACTTGATACAATTCATAACGAATCAATGCACTGGAATCAAAATATAACAAAATATAAAAAATTCCGAAATTTCAATAATTGCGTTCTTTATTCAAATTTAGGAGAAGTTTTTGAAGTTAATTCTCATTTGGATAGATCAAGAAATAAAATGAATGGATTACTTGTCGACTTGTTTAATGCAATGGGACAGAAAGGAAATTTTGATGCCAATTATTTACCAATTCCTGCTTTCCATTTACAAGCTAAATCTCGATGTTTGAATGAAAAATTACAAACTAATTTTGTACGAACTTTTTACCATGTTTTTCATAAAGTTAAAGCTAATGGTGCTGGCTATCATGTCACATCCACATTCCGACAAACTCAATTCATATTTTTATTAACAGCTAGCGATCCAATTACAATAACTGAAAAGCTGTTCCTACCATTTGACATCCACACCTGGATCATGTTGATTATAACATTTGGAATCGCATTTCTTGTGATTTTTATTACAAATCAAATGCCAAAAAAGTTCCAAAAGTTAATCTATGGAACAGGAATTAAAACTCCAGTGCTTAATATTTTTTACATTTTCTTTGGAATCGGACAAATGAAAATTCCAGACAAGACATTTCCACGATTTCTACTTACTTCCTTTATTTTGTTTTGTTTGATCTTTCGAACATGCTATCAAAGTAAGTTATTTGAGTTCATGACATCGGATATGAGAAAAGCTTCGCCATTGACAATTGATGATCTTTATGAGAATAATTACACGATTTGTGCTGTTCATATCCCACATATGATTGATTCATTGACTTCTATGATTAATGAGCACCGAAGGTTAGTTTGCTTTAAGGGGAAAACAGCATAATGAGAAAAAAGTTTTGATAGAATATCCCCGCCAAAATATTAATAAAGGAAGTTTTTATTCACAATAGAAAGTCGATAGAAAATTTCGATCAAAACATTTTCTCTTTATGTTGTTTTCCCCTCGCTTCACTCTTACTTATTATTAAATTTTTGTTTCCCAGACCAAAAATCAGAACTTTTTTGCATTACAAATATTTTATTCGAACGTACTTCTCACAGCGACAAAATTATTCAGCAAAGCTAGCATTTTTCATTCCTGACGAGCAACTCGCTATTTTGAAACAGGATTGTAAATGTGAACCAAAGATCCTTAAACAGCCACTTTTCACCATACAAGTTGGAATAGGACTTTTACCAAATCACTTCCTATATGATCTTACTGAAGATGTAGTTCAACGATTCATTTCAGCTGGAATCATTCAATACTTTTATGAATATTACGGTTGGTTGCTATTTCATACCAGAATTAATAATGAAGACACTGGACCAAAAGTCCTTACATATGATGATTTGGCATTTGGATTTCATATTTTCATAGTAATGTCTTGTATTTCGTTGGTTGGATTTTTGATGGAAAAATTTGTTCAAAATTTTTTTTTTGGATTCTTTGTTGAATTTTTTTCATGCTTCTCTAGTTTGCAAGCTGTTGCTAATGTTTTGAGATGAGCAGTTTGTGTTTTTAAAGGTAAAGATGAGTTGTAGTGGACACAAAGTACCTACGCCACTGGATTTAAATATAAAAAACAAAGTCATGATTTTAGTCACGTCCGCCAATAAAATCAAATAAATAATTCCGTAGTGTTCGATCTCTACAGACTTGATAAATCTAAAATTAGAAGTAATTCAACATTAATTGTAGCTGATAATCTTAAAAAAAATATCAATTTTTCGAGAACGAGCTGTTCAATTTAGTAGTTTTTGAACTGTCGACTGGTTAAATTGTCTCAATAAAATAAAATATTTTTTTTTCAGATGAATCTTTTACTTTTAATGCAATTGAATTTGATAACTTGCTCAATACTTGAAGAAGAAATTTTAGAAGAAAATTCAAGCATTAAAAGCGTGCACTTAAGAGCCTTTTTAGAAGCTATAGATGAGCTTTTTGTTGAAAACTCCATAATTTTTGATATGGTTGTCTATGCTGATGCAAATCAGTCGATAATTAATGAAATTGGAATGGAAAGTTCTGGAAATTTTTCATATGAATTAAAACTAGTTAACAGTAGTTTATTCAATCCATGTTTTAGTCTGAACAATTCAGCTGTAATTATTGTTTCTGATGAAAAAGCACTTAATGATTTTAATTATCATGCACGAATTACAAATGATTTCCCAAAACCATTAAGATTCTTGGTTTGGATGAATGACATGCCATTATCAGTACTTTTAAAATCTGAAGGTTTCCTGTATGATGATTTTGGGGACATCACTTAGTATGAATATATTTTTGGTGAATCCGAAGGAAACTTGCTGATATTTACTTTTAATTGGTTTAAAGAAGGATTCTGTAATAAACTTGAGCTACTTCCAATTGACATTTTTAATCGAAAATCATTAAAATGGACGAAAGATCTCAAAAGCTACAAAAAATTCAGAAATTTCCATGGATGCATGATTATTGCAAATCTTGGAGAGATTTATCAGATAAATGCATACCATGATTTAAATACAAACAGCCTTAAAGGAGTTCTTGTTGACTTTTTTGATTCGATCGCACAAAAAGGCAATTTTTCAACGTCCTACACATCAATTTTTGGAATTCATAAGCAGTTTGTTCCATACTGTATAAATGAAAAAGTTCATAAAGGATTTTCAATTACAAAATATCAAGTTTTTCAAAAGTTTAAATCAATTGTGACTCACTATCATGTCACATCAACATTCCAACAAACCAAATTCATCTTTCTACTCACATCAAGCGAGCCAGTAACAATCACTGAGAAGCTTTTCCTTCCATTTGACTTCCAGACTTGGATTATGTTGATCATAACATTTGGAATCGCCCTTTTAGTAATTCTTTTTGCTAATTGTTTGCCAAAAACTTTTAAAAATCTTATTTATGGCAAAGGAGTCGAAACTCCTGGTTTAAACTTGTGCTACATTTTCTTTGGAATCGGACAAATGAAAGTTCCAGACAAGTCATTTCCTAGATTTCTTTTAATGTCTTTTATTCTGTTTTGTTTGATCTTTCGTACCTGCTATCAAAGTAAACTATTTGAATTTATGACAACGGATATGAGACAATCATCTCCTGTTACAATTGATGACCTTTATGAGAATGGATTTGTGATCTACACGATAGGTTTTCCACATGTTATTGATCATCTGAATTCAATGATTGATAAGAAAAGAAGGTAATAATGATTTTTTGATGCTCTTTTGGAAATAGGAATGGAAACAACTCCGTTTGGCTGGTTCAATGATAAGATGAACGGTTTTCTTAGTCTCAAGAAAAATTAAACAGATCGGTTAAGTCGTGGATTCTAAAATCATGTTTATTCTCCGATTTTCAATCTCAATTGAAATCCAGCCCACATTGAACCAACTTTTTAGTGAAAAATTAGGTCCAGCTTAATATTTTAAATTTTATGTCAATTTTTTCCAGGCCAATCATCAAAGCTCTCAACTCTTTTGCTGAATTTCAAATATTGTATGTATCACAGCGACAAAACTACTCAGCAAAGCTCGCCTTTTTTGTCCCTGACGATCAATTAAGCACTCTAAGGTACGCATGTAAATGCGAACCCAAAGTACTCAAGCAACCATTATTCAATGTTCAAGTTGGAATTGGATACTTGCCTAATCACTTCTTGTATGAACTTACAGAGGATGTAATGCAAAGATTCATATCAATGGGAATCATTCAATATCTTTATGAATTTTATTTGTGGTCTTTATTACACACTGAAATTGAAGAGGAACTAAATGATCCGAAAGTATTGACATTAGATGATTTATCTTTTGGATTTCATATTTGGTTGATTACTTGCGGAATTTCAATTTTTGGATTTATACTCGAAATTGCTGTTTATATGCTATCGGGTATGTTCTAGAACAGTGATGGTCAACCCATGTGTCGCGGCACACTTTGCGTTTCTTAGTCAAAACTCTTCTAAAATAATAATAAGTTCTCGAACTTACTATTCTACAACTTACTGACACATGCCACATTTTTTCAGTAATCTTGATTTGTTTAAAAACAAAACAAAAACATGAAGACAAGAACCTTTTGTTCCAATCGCATCGACCATTAACTTTTACCCTTGAAACGCAGACAAAACATTTGATTTTCCGGCAACATGACCATGAAAACTACAAAGGATCTAATTCTTTGTTTCACGTGTCACATCATAAACTGTTCCGATAAGCTTAATTAGGTTGCACCACATTATCTTGTCTTAAGTTTAATCTACACGCATTTTTAATCTCCATAAAGGACTAAAGCTTTCAAGCTTTCAGTCAGTTTTGAGGTGCGAGAAATATAAGACATATGTTACGGTTCCTTAAAAAATGAATAAAATCGATATTACAATGAAAAATTTATTGCGACTTAATTTTTGGACAGTTTTTGGTTTAGCAATTGATCAAAACTTTTTAAACATTTCAATTGACTTAGATGCAAGATTATTAACTTTTTCGGATGCAATTAGACAACTTTATATTGAAAATTATCTTGAATTTGATGTCATAATTTACGGAAATGCTAGCAAATTAACGATTGATCAGCTTGGATTAAAAAATTTTGAAATGTTTCCATATGATCTTAAAATTATCAGCAATAAAGTTGTCACAGAATGTCTTGACATTAGTAAATCAGCTATAATATTTGTCCAAAACATCACTGATCTTAACGATTTTAATTTCATTGCAAAACTTTCTAATTATTTTCCAAAAACATTGAAATTTTTGATTTGGATGGATGATATGGAAGTACTATCATATGGAAACATTGAACATTTTCTGCATGACAATCCTGCACATGTGTCACTTTATGAATATATTTTACAAGATCTAAATGGAACTTTAGAATTAATAACTTTCGAATGGTTTGGTGATGGATTTTGTAATTCTCCAAAACCTTTATCGATCGGACAATTCAACTCAACTTCTATGAAATGGAATAAAAACATTCAAAGCTACAAGAAATTTAGAAATTTCCATAAATGTTTACTAGTTTCCGATTTAACAGAACAGATAGCTGTGAACAGATACAATGATAAGATCTCCGGTAAAAGTAAAGGATTCATGATCGATTTGTTCACAGCAATAGCTCAGAAAGGAAATTTTTCAACAGTTTTTTTTTATAGATATAGACCTGCTCCTTTTAATGGGATCGAATGCATGAAGCAGAAAAGAATGAAGGAAAAAGATAAAAGAAGAAACAAAATTAACTTTGATGTTTGCTTAAGAATCAAAGCCAATGGACATACTGATCATATCACATCAACTTTTCATCAAACTAGTTATATATTTTTAATTACTCCTGATGATCCAATTACAATAACTGAAAAGCTGTTTCTTCCATTTGATGAATTTACCTGGATCATGTTGATTATAACATTTGGAATCGCATTTCTTGTGATTTTTATTACAAATCAAATGCCAATAAAGTTTCAAAAGTTAATCTATGGAACAGGAATTAAAACTCCAGTGCTTAATATTTTTTACATTTTCTTTGGAATCGGACAAATGAAAATTCCAGACAAGACATTTCCACGATTTCTACTTACTTCCTTTATTTTGTTTTGTTTGATCTTTCGAACATGCTATCAAAGTAAGTTATTTGAGTTCATGACATCGGATATGAGAAAAGCTTCGCCATTAACAATTGATGATCTTTATGAGAAAAACTTTTTAATTCATACAATGGACTATCCGAATGTGTTGAATGTTTTGACAAATATGATTGATCATAGAAAAAGGTAGGACTTGGACATGTTATTAAGTGCTCTTCCACCTTAGGGCTAGTTTCTAAAGCTACTCAAGATATCATATCAAAATCGCAGATTATATTTGTTTCATACTCAATATTAAAGCACAGCAAATCTCATTTCTAAGATGTGGTACTTTGAGTAGCCCTGGAAACCTGCCCAAATATCAATCAACATTCAAAAACGAATCTAATTTTACATTTTAGACCTCAAATCATTACCACAAACAACATGTTACAACTTTACAGCCATTACATATCTCAAAGAAAGAACCATTCATCTAGACTAGCATTTTTTATTCCAAATGATGAACTTGTTTTTATTAAAAAGAAATGTAAATGTTCACCAAAAATATTAAATCAAGCTCTTTTCTCAATTCAAATTGGAATTGGTTTAATTCCTAATCATTTTCTCTACGATCTTACTGAAGATGTAATGCAACAACTTATTCCAATGGGAATTGTTCAATACATGCTTGAATTTCACACGTGGATGAAGTTTCGAACAGATATTATCCTTCCATCGAGCCAACCAGCTGTTCTTTCAATTGACAATGTTGCTTTTGGATTTTATATTTGCATGGTGACATGTGGATTTTCGATTGTTGCATTCGTAATGGAAATTTTAATTTTTAAACTTAAAATGAGAATGAACAAATTTATTGGAAATTTTGTTTTTAAAAGAATTCAGGATATTTATGATATGAGTGGTAGGGAGCGGTGTCAACGCCAAAGTTTAGAATCTTGAATATCAAAACAAAGGTAGTGGAATCTAACAGTGCTAAAGGACTCTGTGGTAAACAGTACTTTGTGGCAAACAGGACTTCTCAGGATATAATAAAGAATTCACACAATCATAAGACTATTAAGAAGGTATCTAAATTTTTAACGACCATAGAAATTTTTTAAAATTAATAGTTTAATTAAAGTTAAAAAATAAATCAATTTCTTAAAATAAAAATATTCATAAGTGGTCGTTCACTTATGACGTTCATCAAAAAACCTGACTTTTAGACCCCCTCCCCCCCCCCCCCCTCTGTCACAAAAATTCGATAGAAAAAAAATTTCCATTGTTTGAACTGTCACAAAATCCTAGACCCCCTTAAATGTCGGACGTCATAAGTGAACGGCCCCTAAAACTTCAAGTTTCATATCTCAACTCCTTTAGTCTTTCTTTTCCTTTACAATCTTTGATATATCTTAATCAGCACACACTGAGCAACATTTCAAACTATTCAGAGAAATTTTTCTTCATTTTTTGCATATTTAAAATGAAAAACTTTATTCGTTTCAACTTTGGCTTGTTTTCTCACTTTATTCTTCTCTGTGCTGCATAAGGAAATTAGTATGCTTGTAGAAAATTAAATGTCAGATTATGTTTCGTATGCAAAAAAGTAAATCTCGTCTATTTGCAAAATTTAATATTGCAAATTTTATTCGAATGTGAGAAAGGAAGAAATATTTTTGAATTTTTATTTTTAAACCCTTACGGAAATTTATAAGGTTTTTGTGGTTAGCTGGAGCACTCTACTTTGGGTGTCATTTTTTTGAACAAAATTTTTGTAGGGTAGCCCTAGAAACTAGCCTCAGACGGATCAAGACTTAGTGTATCATATTCTTGATTTGTAACACACTTTTAGAGCCATAGGCAAAGAGTTTATGTTTCAGCATGTCTAGATATGCCTCTCCTCAGTATTCCTCATCTTAGTATATGCACCCTCTAAGTCGTACTCGTTAACACTGAACAACTTTTTTTTCTGGTACTTAACATCAATTTGAGGGAGGTTGGGTTTCATGATAACTTCTGATGATATAATTGAGCAGTTATAATCAAATCCTCATTAGGCTTAATCACAAAAAATTCTTTAAAAAATTCCCACAAGGAACTACATCATATGAAAATATCCTCAACATATTCAAAAACTCACTATTCAAATGACTGAATCATACTTATCTCTCCACACACACACACACACACAGGCATATGTTCAGACAGACGAGAAAAGAAGAAAAATAGAGGAAATTAAGAAATTATGTTTATAATATCATATATAATGTTTATACATCATGTCATTACTGCTTCTATCTGGCTGCAGCATAACATAACACAACATATGAAACACGATTTGGGTTGGAACAGAAAATGACTTGAAAGTTTATGTGAGAGCAGCAAAAGTGTCACACAATGTCACTAAATATAATTTTATATCTATATCCCGGAGGGAGTGTAAAATGGAATGGGAAAGGTTAAAGTTGAGAATCTTCACATGCACAGTTTACGACAACTTTTTACTGTCTCGCTTCGCAAAACTTTAATACATAACGTAATTAATTTAGCCTATAATTTCTTCCTCTCGTTTCCTCTGAAATATTTTCCATTTCCTTGCTAAATGCGAGTATTTATGTGGATGAAAATGTGAGCAAATGTACTTGTGTCTTTTAAAAGGGCTGAAAATTGATTACGGAACATTGATGAAAGAATTTAAAAGGCAGACACTTTGAGAGGATATTTTAGAGATGATTATAGCATTTAAAGCTATAAAGTAGTTGATGCGAATTAGAGTTTTGGGCATTACATTTTGTTTAATGAGTCAGCTGTCTATGAGGGTATTATAAAGAGATTGCAAAGTTCTACTAAGAGTTAAGACCGCGATATTGTTTTTTTCGAAGAATTTAGGTGATGGAAGGTAAAAGTCCTCAATGAGGAGGGATTGAGGATTTGTATCCAACTGATATAGGATATGTAGCTTGATTGAGTATTTAAATGGTTTAAATTGGAACATTTCAACACGGACTGAAGCTGAGTGTCTTTCTAGAAATTTGAATGAAGCCATTTTGCATGCCTATACAGATAACTGTAAGGTCAGTAAGCCATGTAAACATGGTAGATGTAAGTGGTATAATTCAGAGTTGGATAAGATGAGAAAGGCTGTAAGAAGAAAGTGGAATCAAAGTAAAAAGCTAGTAAGACAAGGTTTTTGCATAGCTGAAGCTTCATTGCGATCTGGCTATAAGGAATCACTAACCAGGTACAGTAGTTCTATTAAGGAAGCAGCACTTGCTTCGTGGAAGAATAAATGTGAAGAAATTGAACGGTTTGAGGACTGCGCAAGGATTCACAAATTAATGGCGAAGAGAAATGCAGATACAACAATCGGTGCACTCAAGAAGCAGGACGGGACTTTTACTCATAGCAGTAGTGAAAGTCTTCAGCTACTTTTGAGTGCTCATTTTCCAGGATCAACAATAGTTGATGACTCAATGGACTATAGTGAGCTGGGTACATTTTTGCCTGGTGATGGATTATTGGCAGACAATGTCGTTACTGAGGAGAAGGTTACTTGGGCAGTCAATTCTCTGAAGCCTTTTAAGTCGGCAGGAGAGGATGGTATCCTTCCTGTACTCTTACAAAGAGGCTTAGGTCAGTTGATGCCTTATCTACTCAGTTTATTTAGGTACAGTTTGGATACAGGGTACATTCCAAAATCATGGAGAAGTGTTAAAGTTGTTTTTATTCCAAAACCAGGTAAAGACACTTACGCTGAAGCTAAGTCATTTAGACCTATCAGTCTGATGTCCTTCCTATTAAAGGTTTTGGAAAAATTAGTTGATAGATATATAAGGGATGAAATTTTGTCAAGTAGGCCTTTGTCTAAGTATCAGTTTGCTTATCAACCTGGTAAATCGACAGATGCTGCCTTACATAGTATTGTTTCTAGAATCGAAAAGGGTTTCTTCGACAAAGATTTTATGGTGGGAGGCCTTATTGATATTGAAGGTGCTTTCGACAACACTGGTTTCGATGTTATCACAAATGCCTTACATCGAAGAGGAGTTCCACAAAGAATGATACAGTGGATCAGCAACATGCTTAGATCGAGAATCGTTCACGCATCATTGAACGGTGAAGTTGTGTTCATCATAGTGAAACGTGGTACACCACAGGGCGGCAACTTGTCTTGCCTGTTGTGGTCATTGGTTATTGATGATTTATTGGTAGATCTAAATGGCTCAGGGGGCATCTTTGCCCAAGGTTATGCTGATGATATTTTTATTTTAGTAAAAGGTAAATTTACTAACACAGTGTTAGATGTTTTTCAAAGGTCTTTAAACATTGTGGAAGGTTTTTGTGATAAAGTTGGTTTATCAGTAAATCCAGCTAAAACAATTGTAATTCCTTTCAGTACGAAGTATAAATTAGGTGAGCTACGTCCTCCAGTTATGTATGGTCAAAGGATAGAATTCAGTTATGAAGCAAAGTATCTTGGTGTCTACTTAGACAGCAAATTAAACTGGAATTTGCATGTAGATTTCGTTGTAAGTAAGGTGACTAAGTCCTTTTGGGCTTGTAGATCAATTGTTGGTAAAAACTGGGGATTGAAACCCAATATGATGTATTGGCTGTATGAGCAAGTCATTCTACCAAGAATTATGTATGGATGTGTTGTTTGGTGGCATAAAATGAAAAAAGTTTTTGCCTCTCAGAGAATTGAGAAACTGCAAAGAATAGCAGAATTGTCAATTTGCGGTGCTTGGAAAACTACTCCAAAACTGGCTTTGGATAGATTTCTTGAGCTTCCTCCACTTCGAGTGAGAATCGAAGCTGCAGCTCAAACAAGTGCATCCAAATTGAAGGTTAATAAATTATGGGTTAATGACTGGATTTCTACAGGTCATATGGAATTAAATCGATTTCTAAGGAGTGTAAGTTTATTTATCTTAGAATCGGATCATATAGTGTCAAAATACGTTTTTGACAAACCTTTTAAGGTAGTTGTATCAGAAGATAATGCTGCTGAATCTTGTGATTTGGTGGAAAGTAATTGTATGTCTGTATACACTGATGCATCAAAGTCAGAAAGTGGTGTTGGCATCGGTCTGTTCAGCAAAGAGCTGAGTTTGAATTCATCCTACAAACTGCAAGATCATGCTTCTGTCTTTCAGGCAGAAGTTCAAGCTATTTGTGAGGGTGCTAATTACTGTTTGGATATGGATTTGAAAGGCTGTAAAATTTGCTTTCTTTCAGATTGTCGATCAGCTTTGACGGCTTTAAACAATTGTGTTGTGAAGTCTTTAACAGTTCTTGATTGTATTTCTTGTTTAACAGCATTGGGGCAAGAAAATGAAGTCATCCTAAAATGGATACCTGGACACAGTGGTATTGAAGGTAATGAAACAGCTGATCAATTAGCTAAAGAAGCAGTACACAAGGAAGATTATGACAAGTCGACATACTATGGTTTTGGCTTGTTGAAGTCAAACATACGAGAATGGATGGAGAGACAGCATTTTCGTATCTGGAATTTAGAGGAAGGAGCCATGACAGCCAAAAGACTTCTTGGTCCTAAAAATAAGAATAAAATATCGGATGCTCTCAGACTACCAAGGAAAGACCTTAGCATCTTAATTGGTGCTTTGACAGGACACATGAGTATCAATAGTTTTCTTTTTAAATTGAATTTGTCTAATAGTAAAATTTGCAGGTTTTGTAATGTGAATGAAGAAACAATCATTCATATACTTTGTAAATGTAGGTCATTACGAGGACAACGTGTCAAGCATTTTGATGAGGACTATTTGAATGATGAGGATATAAACAAGCAGCATTATCAGGACATTATTGGCTTTATTAAGGACATTGGAATTCTAGCATAGGGGACTTGGGATGGTACAACAGATCATCGATCGCAGTGCCGCTTTTGCTATTAGCAAAACCCTTCATCACATTCTATTCTATAGGTCATAAAT